TTACTAAAAAAGAAGGAAAGAGTCCAGGAGGCCGATGGTTCAGAGCAGCAAATGCCAGGCCCCTAAGGGGCTAGCCAACCCAACACTTGATGTCTCCCCTCCCTGCCCCGGGCCAAGTGGCAGGGCCAGATCTTCAAATCCCTCCAGAAGGCCAGGAGTGAGGGGGCCAATCTCACCTCCAGGGGCAAGATATTCCAAAGGGCAGGGGCTATTGCAGGGAAGGCCCATTTTCTGGACCCTGCTAGTCAGAGCTCTTTCACCAAGGGGGTCCAGAGCATGCCCCCTCTGTGTGATCAGGTGGGAGGGGTTGAAGTCATGGGGAAGAGGCAGTCCCTCAGATAACCTGGTCCCATGCCATGTAGGGCTTTAAAGGTAATAACCAACGCCTTGAATTGGACCCGGAAGCAAACTGGTACCCAATGCAGCTTGTGGAGCAACGGTGTTATCTGGGTCCTTCTTGGGGCTCCAAAAGTAGCCCGCGCAGCTGCATTCTGGACCAGCTGTAGCTTCCGGATACTCTTCAAGGGTAGCCCCATGTAGAGCGCATTGCAGCAGTCACTAGTAGGAATGTTGTATCAGCAGCTCCATGCCACCCACAGCACCCCAGAGATTGGACATGGTCCCTTTAATGAGACCCAGTAAAGTGACTTTGTAGAAAGCCATTGTATTAACTGTGTTTAATTAAATTGAATGTTAATTAAATTCACATGAACTTAACTCATATTTTGGAGGTTTGGCCTGGCCTCAGCCACTCTTGGAATGCAGCTTCCTGGCGTAGCTTAGGAAGAATGAGAGAGGCCCTTGGGTCAGAAAAGATGAGCAGCCCAACTTGGGGCTAATACCATTACTCACATGATGCCATGCTGGAATGGAAGATTAATGTTAGTCTACTCACGGAGAGGCCCATCGTTCAGTAGCAAAATTCAGATTTTGCCCCAAGGAGGCCCAGATTCAGCCCCTGGCGATTCCAGCTCACAGGAACAGGAAACATGGTAGACAGTCTTTCTGTCTGGGACCCTGGAGATCTTAATCTTTAGACAGAAAATTAAAATGAACCGATAGTCTCAAACAAAACAGTACCTTATGTTCCAGACTCGACATTTGCAATGTTGAGCTTTTGGAAGGAACCCCTCTGTACAAATGCAGAGGGATAATACTATGAATATGAATAATATAGACTATATTACCATCTACTTTATTACACTGAAATCGATCGGAAATAGTTTGCAAAACAAATTTGCCCCATGCATGCATCTTCTTTACAATTAACTGATCGCTCAACAAACTTTGCCTGTTATGGCGGTACCAAGACAACCTTGGCTGAACTTGTAAAAAACTAAGCAGGTCAGACCTGGCTTGGATGGGAGACCAGTGGGAAATGCCAAGGCTGAAAGCTAGATTAGGAAAGCAGTGGCGATGGAAAAAAAGCAATCTTTTCCATATTGTTGCTTTAAAAAATCCCCTACAAGGCTATGTCTGTGTAATTCCAGGAGTCATGCTCAAAACTAGAGAGTCTTTACAGTGAGAAAGAAAATCTTATATATGAATGATATTATCACTGATGTAGCATCCATTAGATCAGTGTTTCTCAACCTTGGCTGCTTTAAGACGTGTGGACTTCATGGCTGGCTGGGGAATTCTGAGAGTTGAAGTTCACACGTCTTAAAGCTGCCATGGTTGAGAAACACTGCATTAGATCATACCACCGCTGAATAAAATAAGGTAAAAAGTTATTTTTTTGGACTGATATATGTTTGCCTGAGTTTTTTAAATTGCTTCATTACCACAAATACACTCATGGTCAAACAAGGAAAGAAGAGTGTCTTCCCTCCGAAAGAGTTCATTGTTGCAGGACGGCACCTTCTCCCATACGCTTTATTTATTAATGTGCCATCTGTGACTTACGCCGAAAGGGCGTAAGTTTATGGGATTGAGTTGACTTTAAAACAAACGAACAAAAATTGCCTCTGGCAATTACATTCCTAAGTAATAAAGGTTGTCCTGTTCTCTTTTAGCACCTTCTGGTGAGGCTAAAGGGTGGAGCCCAAATTGGAGAAGGTCGCCTTGAAGTGTTGATGAATGGGGAGTGGGGAACCATTTGTGATGACCAGTGGAACCTACAGTCAGCCAACGTGGCCTGCCGAGAATTGGGCTTTGGAACTGCCAAGGAGGCTATTCTGGGTGCAAGACTTGGACAAGGTAAGCATGCTTAAAATTAGGGAGTTAGTAGAAAGAATGAAGGAGCAATGAACATGGAGAGACCAAGAACTGAGCCCGTGCTTTATATGTGGAAAACCCCACAATCTGATCATTAGCATCTTCAAGTTCAGGAAGGGATTATCTGATAGGTAAAACAATCTGTCTAACTCTTGGGAAATCTGCTATTAGGTACAGTGAGAGTCTGACATCATCCAAAGGATATTATGTCACAATATCCTTTGGATGATGTCATAATTTATTTTATTGATTGATTGATTGATTGATTGAATTTTTATGCCACCCGTCTCCCCCAGAGGTGGGAGCTTGATTCCCAGGGACTTTGTGGATACATTTATGCAGTTTTCCTGGTGTAGTATGAAAGTGGTTTGCCATTTTCTTCTTCCAGGCTATCTACAGACCTGAAATTTCCCGACCATCTCCCATTCAAATACTAATTCAGAGCTATTTTTCTAACACTGGCTGACCAAACATTCACCAACAGGGACCCTATCAGAATGTGCAGTATTTTGCACACTGCACACTCCTTTAAGGTTCCCTCTAAGATTTAGCGATAATTGAACCTAGATATGAATCTGGATTATGGTACTATTTAAAGGAAGATGTCCCCAAGTAGGTCAGGCTGTTCATCTCTATGACTTCACAATGTGCTTGAGTGTGGTGACCAATGGCTTTAACTCAAGTATGGAAAACTGTGGGTCACATGCAGTCCCCAGTAAGCACGCTGTTGAAAATAGTGGGGAAAATGGCTGGCAGAATACCTTGTCCATCTTTGCTAGATAACAATAAAAATGCACAACCTTTTGAAAGGCTTTACACGACTTTAAAAAACTCAATCTGCCAAGAAACCCTGGTTCCACCTATTACTATCTCAAGACATCATTAGTGATCTTATCAAGCTTTACTTTAACAATTTTGATACAAGCTGTACATTACAACTTATAGGTTCCTTTAAGACAGCAGTGGGCAATCTTTTAATGACCAAAGACTACCCAACATTTGAGAAGAAGGCTACTGTTGCAAAGTAGGTCACATCACACCTGGACAAGGGATGGGTTTGGGAGGCCTTTTTTTAAAGTTCAATCCATCTCCAGTATTTTAGGACTTACTTTGGAGCTTTTATCTGTTTGCCACATTGCAATGGTAGAAAACAGTGTCTTCAAACTTAGAGGCAATTTGAAAGCTATGGAAGGGGGACTTTGGGGCGGGAGCTGCCTGTCTCTCTGGAACCATCTGCTAGGAATGAAAGCATATGACCGTTTCCTCTAATATTAAATTGCAATGTAATTTAAGGCAAAATGTGGCTTATCAAGAGAGGAGGATAATATTCTATTCAATCCAGAAACTGAGATTGGAGTTTCTTAATTCTGGCAAGGGCAGCTTCTAAAAAATGCTTCATAATACAGAAGAGGTAGAGAATCCATGGCCAAGCCAAAAACAACCCCATAAAATCCAAGTAAAAAGTGAACGAACTCCAAAACGGTGTGGCTTGGGGAAGGAAAAGGAAAATAACTTACAAGTATGAGACACACTGCAGCTCTCTGGAATCTTAAAAATGTGAGTTTACCAGCCAAACTGCACACAGAGGGCTCTGAGATATATTTAATTGTGGTTGCAGCTACGGAAGAGCTAACATCACGTGAAAAAAAGTCCCTGCCACGTGATGGGGCTGCAGCAGGCTGCCACATTACACAGCTAGAAACTGGACATTTTGAAAGAGTGCTTCAGATGTGTTGCATTTTCTTTACTGAAAATTGGAGCCTACCAGGAAAAATGACTAGCGTTTCTCTGAAGTATATTAATAAAGCAGAAGGTTCCAGCAAAACATATTAGCATTCTTTTCTGTCTGCTTTAGAAAAAAATATTACTTGAGAAAAATGTTGACCTCAGGTAGTCCCCGGATTAAGAACGCCTGGTTTAAAGATGACCCATAGTTAAGAACAGAGCCTACTGTAGCAAAATTCAAGTTAAATACACAATGGTTCAAGTTCATTATGCAATACTTTATACAGTATCATACAATAATACTGTTCTGGCTTACATACACATTCGACTTAAGGACAGACCTTGGGAACGAACTTGTCGTTAAACTGGGGACTACCTGCATACTCCTTTAAGAGTTGTGCTTGCCCCCCACTTTCTCAGTGTCTAAAAAATCTAGAGAGACACGTCTCTTTTGGTAGTCTTGTAATAGATGATTTTAGGACCTACTGGATTATTAGCTTTTAATCTGCTTTTTTTTTTTTTAGATTCTGTATTTGATTTTTGTTTTGTTTCACTGCCTTGAGTACATGCTGGTATAGAAAAGTGGGGTATAAAAGTTGGACAGCATCTTTTCTCTGTTGACAGCAACACCGTCTATCTGATAGCACCCTAAGACTCCAATTCTATATGTATCGTTTGAACTTCGTGGGAATATTTCATAAACATGCATCATAACAGACTGTAATGGACTTACTAGAGAAAGGGCACAAATATTTGTTTGTGTATTTATTTATGTAATTAGAGTGTGTCTGGCTTCATCCCAACTTTTGGCGGTATTCAGCATGAAACAATTTAAAAGAATATGATACAAAACAATACAAAATCAATGCCTGGAAAACAATACCAGCTCTATTAGACTAACATCCCACCAGAGGTCCATTGTTCATTCTAGCCCAAGACTTGGGAGAAGAGCTAGATTTTAAGAGCTCAGTTGAATGGGGTCAGAGTAGGGGCTGCATGAATCTCTGGAGGGCAATGATTAGATCACAGAGTTCATGCATTACAATAGGGAAGCATAAGCCATTCTACAGGACATAATATTTTTTGTTATTTTGTAATGCCATGACCCCATTTAAGCTTAAAGATTTCTTGTAAATCCTTTTGTAACCCTCCGTTTCCTTGAGAAAGTAAAAATAATTTTAGAAATCTTCAAACAACCCATGTTTATTGGAGATCTTTTGTCTTTCTGTTGTCCTGTGAAAGAATTATTTTTATCCTTATTGAAATGTCAGACCTTTGGGTTGCCAGTGGCAAAAAGGGTCAAAAATGCCAGTTATATATTTTGCCAAGACTCCAGATGAAATTTATGAAATGATGGAGAAATGGAAAATTGGCCTTCGTTCTGTTTCTAACAACTGAAAGAAAAAAAAATTACTGGAAACAATATCTCAAAAGAATAAAAACAAAACCCATTGCAGAAAAGCTTTACTAAAGCCCTGGATATTTTTAACTCAGAAGTCTCCTGGACCTCTATCTGGATTTGGGGGGATCTGGGGAGTTGAGATGTCCAGTCTATGAATTATTACAGATTTTCCAGTGTTATAGAGTTTTCCAGATGCAGTGGTGCTGTTAGAACAGGACTTTGGGGAAAAATAACAGGGTTCTATTGAATGAAATGAAAAGGAGGGAAGCAAACACAACCAGATTGGCTTACCACATGTTAAGGAAATGAAGTCATATGCTTTACCCTCTGAAAGGGGGATCGTAGGATCTGTACATTTCCTAATTGAACAACTATGCAGACGTGTGGAGTTCGACTGCTGTAGTCCCCGAATTGGAGTAGTCTGAAGCAGAACCTATGAAATGCAAACGTTCCTCATCTGACTTATTGTGGAAAAGTGACCTTGTGAGTGTTCTTCTCTTCTTGAAGGCATAGGCCCTATCCATCTCAATGAAGTGGACTGCACAGGGTTTGAAAAGTCTATTACGGACTGTAAATTCAGCAAGGAGATCAGGAGCTGCACCCATGAAGAAGATGCCGGCATAAGATGCAACATTCCAGCCATGGGTTTCCAAAACCAGGTGAGAAGGATTGGCACCTCCTGTAATGGGATAATGCTTTTCTTTTTGTGTAGAATGCACTAAGCAGTTCATCTTAAATGCTGGAACACTGAAAGAAAAACATTCTTTCTCACCCTTTTTCCTGAACCTCCAGATAAGAGACCAACAAAGATACAACCTGTTCTACTTTGGAGATTATTGGGTGAATCTGGGCCAGCCGCTGTCTCTAAGACCAAGCTACCTCACATTGTTGTTAGTGCAGGGACATAATGATGAGAGACCCACAGAGAAAAGTTAAATGCTATAGTAGTAGTGGTAGTAGAAGTAGTAATATCACCTCTTCCTCTTACCAGTCTTACTATGAGCAAAGGGGCTGTCTCAGGTGTTTTGATGTAACCTGTTTTTATATCTTAGTAGCATGGTCACCGCTTGTGAAAAACTAGTAATGCCAGCTACCAACCTATGGTATAAAATTCAACTTCCAGCACATTGCAATTTTGTTAAGCCCATGTGCAAATGGAGCTAAAACTGTATGAAGTGCAGCACACGCAAACCAGATGTTAGAAGACCAGAAACACAAGCAGGCTCCTCAAATAGCTGCTGTGACCTGGAAAGGGTCATGTGAATCAGACTTTTGGTTGCTTCTTAAAATGTTTACTGAATTTGGGTTTTGAACAGGAGGAGCTTTTCCTCAACCCTCCAAATTGAGGTCATCTTCAGACTGCTGGCTCAGGGTCCATATTGGCAGGCAGTTCAGTGCATTTGTAAGATTTACATCCCAGGATTTGGCCAAACTCCACATGTTCCATTCACTTTAACATCTGTGTTCTTTTAAAATCAATGAGCGCTCTATAATTTGAGAAACATCCTAGCCTTTCTCCAAATGATTTGCTTCTTAATTTCTACTCAGCCTCTTCCTAATGGTTGCATTAAAACAAGGACTCCATCTTAAATATCAGTTTGAATGTATGCTCATGTGTTACTTAATGTGGGGATTAGCATTAGAAAGAGACCATGCAACCTCTGTTTTGAGACCCTTGACCCCAAGAGATTCTTTTGCCAACCTGATGCCTTTCTGATGGTTTGGACTATGGCTCACATCATGACTTGGAGATGACGTGAGTTATAATTCAATACATCAGAAGAGTATCAGGTTAGAGAAAGCTCTTCTAGACTGAATTCATTTTGTGTTCTTTTCTTTCCAATCCATGACCACATGAAGATTATACTACTCACTATTTACTGAAGTTGCTTCTACCTTACTTTGCCTCTGTTCCCCCAGTGGACCATCTTCTACCCTGTTCTCCTTTATTAAATGTTCCATTGGGGAAAGCTGTTTTAATTCTGCTGCCTGTTTTCATGTAGGCATCAGGCTGTTCTTTTAGACAGTTTTGAATATTATTATTCAATATATTATTCAATATTATTAATATTTAGCAAAAATGTGTTCAGGGAAAATAACCCCTCCCTTCTTTTCTCAATTCGCAGAGCATTGCCACCTGAAGAGTTTTAAACCTTCTGGGCAAAATACAACATGTTCAAATCAACACAGAAATAGAATTACAAAGATGTATTTTCCCTTTTCTTTTCCATATAAAAATTGTCAGAGAATTACATTTTTAAAAACTTACATACTCCAGGTCTCTGAATGGTTTAAATTAGCAGAAGAGCAGCTTTTGTATATAAACATAGTGCACTGTTGTCAAGAACTGGCAGAAAGCAAAGATGTGAGTGTAAATCTTGCTTTAAAATAATGAGCTCCCATTCCCCCAGATAAATATAGCTGGTGTCTCAATATTATGTTTCACCCTTCATTAGTATGATCTTCAGAGGTTCCTGGCAAAACGGGTGAACAATCAAGTCAAGCATAGCCCATTGTACCCCACATAAAGTTGGATAGCCAATATATAAAAATTATTTTGGAGTTCTGAATTTCCAAGAATTAGAGGAGATATGCTAACGTTGTGGTGGGTTGCCATGCCTCATTGATTATTTAAGATCATCTTGATGGACATAGGAGTAGAAGGTTAGAGTAGTGTGACTTTTTCTATTAGGAATTATGGGGATTGATTTATAAGGAATTATTCTAGCCAAGATCTTGCTGGGAATTGTGGGAATAATAGTCTGAAAATATCTGATGAGTGCCAAGTTGGGGAAGGCTACGATATAAATTGAACATCAGATATTACACTGGGGTGCCAGTGTGTAAAGTACCAGGGACTACATTCATTATTATTTAGGGACCTGTGGCTCCTTCTCTTCTTTTATATGAATATTTTTTTGTCCTGGACATGACATATGGCTTACAATATCATCTTGATCATACTGATGGGAGATGTTGTTGGGCAGCAATTCAAAACTTTGGGGTAGAGTGAGCTATGTCAATATGATTCCTTTTTCTGCAATTCAGTTTTTTAAAACAACCAAAGTCATTTCCAAGTCAACTGGAGCCAATCACTTTCAAAAACCAGCCAAATAATTTTGATAAATTGACTTGCCAAACACTGTCCTTGTTACATGCCTTATTTCCCCAGCCTAGTTCTCTATGTCCTCTATGAGCAGAAAATGCAACTTTCCTTCTCCTTTGTGGAATGAAATTGGAGTGTGAGGATGACCATAACTTTCACAGCTGTCAATTATCCTCCACAGATACGCCTGAGTGGTGGCCGCACACCCTACGAAGGCCGTGTGGAAGTTCTCAAGGAGCACCAGGGCACGCTCAAATGGGGGACAGTCTGCGGTGACGGGTGGAATATAATGGCAGCCATGGTTGTTTGTCGCCAGCTGGACCTTGGCTATGCTGACCATGCTTTCCAGGTATAGAATCTTCTTAATTCCATGGGGTGCAAACAAATGCTCAGAGGTATTCATTGCAGACTTCAGAAGATCTTATCTAAAAAGACTTTCTTTGAGCTTTTCGGGCCAGGAGTTACTGAATCCCAACTTAATTTCCTTGTTTACTTTTCATCATATAGCACTTTCTTCTGCATCTGTCTTTCTGCTTCCCTCTGCTTTAGCCTTCCTTTTCCATATCCCTATATTTCTGGGTTATCTACTTCCTTTCCTCCCTTCCTGTCTCCTTAAAAAAAAATATGAAGGAAAGATAAAATAGTTATATGTGGCCCTATTTTGAGCCACATTAAATTGGTCTATAGCTTGGGGCTGTCAGATCATGACAGCAAAGAAAGATCTTTTTACAGCTCAGAACAACCAGAAGCTGCCCTTACCAGTCAAAGATCAGTAATATGAAGAAGATGAATAATGATATAATTATGATGAATGAGATAATAGATAACACTGTTTCTTTTGTAGAAGCTGCATATAATCTTAAGCTCCACTTATGCTCTACGGAGCATCCATACTTATTTTAGGAGCACCATAGAACGTACACCCAAGAATTGCCTTGGGAGACCAGATTAAAGTCCCATCAGGTCCCATGTTTTTATTAGTGGACACTGAGATGCTTCAAACAAAGAATGATGGTGATAGCCTACTTTGATCGTTGGTCCCCATCACCTGGTATTTGAAGGTTCCATTTCATCGTGAAATTGTATAGATACACTAGGCAATCCATGACCTATTGGGCCACAATTTCAGAGCTATTTACTTACCTAAACAGATCAACAAAATGATCACAGGTGGGCAAAAAAACAGTGGGAGTGGGAGCAATTTCTGACTTTGTGCCAGCTTCTCCATTGACTTCACTTGTGGGAAGCTGGCAAGGAGCATTGGAAATCACAGTTGCGTGACCGGGGCTGGGTGTGGCAGCACAGCAGTGGCCACAACTTTGCCAATACAACTGGTGTGAAGATCCTTGAAATTTCAATTACATGGGAGTAATGGTCCTAGATTTTGTATCCATTCTTTAAGTGAGCCAATTTAAGGTACCTTCATTCAAAACCTGTTGCGCTGTTTTGGCTAAATGAAGGTTACAGACAGACAGACAGGCAAGTTTTAGTAGCATATACAGTACATTTTTTAAAAATCATACTGTGTTGGACCAAAGGGTTCCTTCCTGACAATTTTGAATTCCTGGACCACACATAATTTTGGCTTTAGAACCCCTCCTTCCAGCTATAGAAACTCCTTGGGTGAAGTGAATACCCATGTAACCTACACTGAGTTCCTAAAGAAAAGTGGGATATAAATCTAATAAATAAATGGCACATTTATGTCTTGCCTTTTCTCTGGAATGCTCAAGCTATGCACGAGCATTTCCCTTAATTTTAAGTTAGCACTGAATTGTAACTTTTAATGTGGCAGAAAGGAGAAATATTAAAGACATGTGAAAACATTAAACTACACTATTTAATTCCATTTGATTTGAATTACTTTTCAATTCAATTAATTTAGTCTTAGTTCTGGACCAACCACTTTGGGAACCCATTTTAAGCCAGATGTCATCTTGACCTAAAAAAATCCATCTCTCTGTTAAGCCAAGCAGCTGTGACTATATAGCACAATAGCTTTGCAGCAAGAAGGAAAGTGAACTTACAAATCAAAGGCCCCAGAAGGATATTTAAGATGACACTGTTTTCAACCATTGAGAAAAGGACCACCCATATTTCAGACGGTGTAGTTAGAGAGAAGATAGTTACCAAGCCATAGGCAAGCCATACAGAACTTGCCATGAATTTATTAAGAGACGATAGCCTTGCTGAAATAATAATTTTACTAGGCGTCCCATCCCTGCTGAGTTTACTGTGATCAGTTTTGGTGCATTGTATGGCTCTTCACTAATATACCACAGTTACAGTCCCATCTTTTTCCTAAGCTAATTCTCTGTAGAAGTTAAAGATCCAAGAAAAAAAGAAGATGGCATTGCTGCCTGGTAAAGTCTGAAGAGGACAAGCAATGTGAGAGAGGGCTAAAGGGGGAGAAGTAGAAAAGGAAAGTGATGGGAGGTGATTGCACAGAAAGACATGGGGCCCCAAAGCCTTTTACCCAGGGCCTCTCAACCTTGGAAGAGTGAGTTTCTGTGTCTGTATGAAACAACCACTTTGAGAATCACATCCACAAAGGTAAACACCAAGCCAGTTTATTTAGTAGTGAGTAGATCTCACTATTAAGAGGGCTCCATTTCAAGGGAAAATTTAGAGCCCTCTTCATCTATTTATCTCCTCACATGTAAGTTCCCCATCCTGTCACTTCATTCATAGGTAGGTAGGTAGAATGAGTGAGTGGATGATGAATAAATTTGTGGCAGGAAAGAGAGAGTGCATCAGTTTCATAGGGAATAGTATCTCTGCAGAGAGTGGTTGGGAAATGTGTTTTTTGATGAGGACCTCAATGCTCCACAAGCTTCATCTCCTCTTTCAGCCTTTCCCCAGGAAATAGTTTGGGCCAAACACACAAGCCAGAAGGGAAGGGCAGTGAAGGAAACTCATGCTATTGCCAATTCCAAGTTCATCTCAGCTGAAAACTGCCACCCCAGAGATCTGTTTTATTTTCTTGTACAGCAGCCAATTTTTGGTTCAGGAGGTGAGGACTACTATGTCTGCCGAATTTTCCCCTTTCTGATCTCTCTGCGGTGTTGACATGAGCAGCCCTTATGCTATTTGATAGAAGGCATTTCCCTGTGCTGGGTCTGCTCAAGCTGGGAACAGAAGCCCTTGTGTTTGCTCCAGGCTGCACCCTTGATGGAGCATACAGCCCCTCTGTATATGTGGAACAAGCTTAACCTGTGAATGTTTGCATGCAGAGAAGCCATTGTTAATGAGTTTATGCCAGTGTGTTGTGACTGACACAGGGTACGTCCTCTTTGCTCCCCCCTTAGCAGCATTTTCTTGAGATGGAATATGAAGAAGACATTCCAAACACTGGACAGTCATTGCTAATCTGCTGTTTTTCTTGCATGATTCTCATATAGCATCTGATTATAGTGAAGTATTAACATATTTAGGATCCCACCGCCACCACTGAACTGTTTCCAAGAAGACCTGTTTTACTAGATTCTTTATCTTTACAACTTCTTCCAAACCAGGCATCTTCATTCTCCATTCGGTTTCCATGATGAAAGCTTATAACCATGGTGTTAAAAGTGCAATGTGGTTATGGAGCTAGTGTTCAATCATACTTCCAGATGCGTAAATCTAGCAAGAGATTATTGAATGGGCAACAACACTATTGTGGCAGTAATTCTGTCTCAAAACAGATTAAGCAGATAAATTCATCATTGAGCTGGGTTGCACTGAGAACTGGAGCTTGGACATAAACATGCTTCAGCCAATCTCAGATCAATGCACTTTGCAATAAATTAATTTGTCAAGAACTGGATAGAGAAATGAAGAAGTTAAGCTGGCTGCACTGATTCTCAAGAATCACCTGTATGACTTCCCAATTTCCAGAGTATTTGATGGAGCCAGTCCAGTCCCCCATAGGTCCTTCTCCCACAGCTAGTCCAGAGCAATGTTACTTCTCCAAATTTGAGGTGACCATTTTATTGATGCTGGAATAAGTCTCTAGCATTAAAGATCTGTCAGGTAGATGCCTAGGCTGGTCATTCAGTGGAAAATGCAGTTGTGGTCAGTCCTGTGCTCAAGGCATGGCAGCTGTTGATAGAAAAGACATTCATTCACAGTAGACAGGTTCCTTGGCCCCTGCATGACTCCGGGGAGAACTGTCAAGCCGTTTGATTTGCTGATTTATTGAGCAGTTATGTATTTTCCAGGAAAGGTGTCAGGCCTCAACTGCTCTGTGAGCTCATAAAGAATGGCATTCTAAATAGCTCATAATTCAGTTAATTCCTTCTCATTAAAGGTCAGCATAGATGGGGGGGGG